CGTAACGCCTTCACCGCTTCGCTAAATAGACTGAATATTTTCTCAGTGCGAGGGCTTTAGCGTGCGTCGGTACTCACGTTGTAGGCGTGATAAGCATATTTCAAGAAAACAAAACGAATTGAAAGCTGCTCGTCAACATCGTACGCGAAAACCAGCTCTACAGATAATTCTGTGCTGTAGCTTGAAGAATTGGTGCTAGAGCAGTGCCGCAACCTGTATTGCTTAGAATGCGGCATCCGTGAAATCTCCTTTTCACGCATCCGAAAGCTTTAAATAAGCACCTGTATTGATAAATATTCGTCTTAACGTGTTTGAAAACCTCAATAAAAGCGGTTAACTTGTCATTCAAACTTCAACAATACTTCCTTTTCACTAAATATAATATACAAATTCAAAAAATAACTTACAACAGTGTATTATTCTTCTGGTTTCTCTAAAGCCTCCGGCTTTTAAACGTACATTGATATTAAAAAATAACATTCTACATAAAAACGCGGCTTGTGTGACTGGAAGGTTCTCGAAGACCCACCATGAGCTTTTTCGTTGTGGCAGTTAGAAAATTTTGTTAGAGTACTCCATGACTCACAGATATTTCATGTATGTGAAGCAGAGAACGTGTGAACTGCGGCTACTATGTACGCGTAGGAACTTCACTCAAAACTATGCTAAATACTCTTTTTACTTGATCTAACATTTCTTTAATGTGCTCGACTTGAAAAAGGGGAACAGAAACGACATAATGTTCACAGTTACGTGAACATATGAGCCGAAGTGAACAATAAAATACCTCATTAGGAAAAATGGGAAGTACGAAAATCACTTGTCTTAGTTGCAGGTGTGAATAGGAGCACGCTATTTGCCCTTCTCTACATAAAGTAAACACGGTACCAGAATAATGAACACATAATAAAGGTTCGGACGCTGAGAAATATGCTGAAATTATTTTGTAATTATATGCAGATCAACTATTGCGAGCCCTCGAACTATGTCGTGGAAGTAAAACAGAGCAGATGTTTGTTTTCTTTGATTATCTTTCAAATCTACAGCGTATACTTTGCTATCATTACCCTACCAACGTCATACATCTATAGGTTGCTTGGCAACGTACTAACACACTACGGTGGGTCTGACTTACGCGCATGAAGGAAAGATGTAAAAAAGCGAAAAAAAGCTTTGTTGGCCAGAAAAGATGCCCTTGTAATATAAAACGGGTACAACTCCTCTGAAATTCTAAAGCTTATTTTTTAAGCCGCTGAAGCTTCTGCAGGGTTCTGCCGAACCGAACACTACAGAAGTGGCTATATCGTACTGGAAGGAGAAGCATGTCATGTATGACAATCGTGCAAGTGCGTAGTGTTTGGCTTTTGCAAAGAAACCCATTAAAGCACATAAAAGAATTTTCTCTGTGTCAATCACAGTATCTTCCTCCAGAACTTTTCGTAATATTGGAAAGTTGTGGATTTGTATGAGCCCTCATTGAACTTTGTCTACGCATCCGGGTATCTAATTTCCCTGGTCCTTGAATTGATCTTGGGCGTAAAAAAGTACAGAAAATTTCATACAAGTGGAAAAGTCAACACGAAAAAGAAAAAGAACCATTTGTACTTTAAAGCCAGCCAAAAAAATCACAATCGCTTTCCTGAAAAGAAAACTTATCAGCTTTGTGAATATTTGTCGTACCTCTACAGAAGAAGCACCACTAAGTACTGGTAACAAGACAACTACTCGGTAAAAGAAAAAGTGTGTTTTAGAAATGAAAAAACTGCTGAAGTCACGGGGCTCTAAGGGCCACCGTAGAGCGCCTTCGCTTGAATGGCTTCGAAAATTGCCTGGGCGAGGCGATCTCATTTCTTCAATACCTATGGAGAAAGTCATTTGAGGAAGTGGCAAAAGCCATTTTCAGAGTGAAATATCAAATCAATTCGCAAAAAAGTGAAGGTTTTGAAAAGATCTTCTGCAAAATTTGTGAAGTATATTCTTTTCAATTTTTCTGAATGATACAGTGTTCCGTTTCACGCAAGCGAAAGAACAAAGAAAATGCTCGCTGACAGAGAAATAGTGGGCTTGCAATAACAGCATGTCACACGTGGCTTCATTTCTCTATCGCGATATGAAGAAAGGAATTTCCCTTCCTTAAGATACTTGAACTAAGCCTCTTTCCAGGAATTCATTACACTGATCTAAGAGTTAAACTTTATTTGCGCAGATAATCATATATCTCAGACGTAATTCAAGACCACGTACTTGCTTCAATAGTGACGACTCATTTGTGGCTGTTGAATTACCACATTTCCCTCCCTTGCTTCTTTTTGTTACTTTTGACCTTCCTCCAAACCAACATGTAGGGTTGCGAACCGAGACGAAGCTTGGTTGTATCATCCCCGCCTTTCATCTTTGTTTCAGTCTCTCTCTTATGCGCGTTTACGTTTTGCGCGTTCAGAATTAAACAATTGTTTAGTTTGCAGCTTGACCTTTTACATTTGGTTTGTGCAAAGTAGTCACATATTCACTGTAGTCATGCGTGTAGTCATATAGGTGCTGTTTGAAACCAAGTGTGTAGCGTAATTCTCATCAAAGAGAAATAAGACACAAAGTGTAGACAATTAGACTATTCTTAGACTTAAATACTTAGACATACAGACACTTAGACTATTCGTTAGGTGAGCTCCACTAGTGAGAAATTTCTCAACTTATTGATTATGTGATACAGGAAGAACTCAGAGCTTCACCACTAAGATCTCGTAGTTCCTGTAGGAGAAACCATAGTCGACATGTCAAGTGTTGTGACTTTGGAGGAAGCAGCGCCTAATTATGACACCACCCAAGCAGAAGAACTGTTCAACAGCAAGGGATATTGATGCGCACATTGATGTTTGAACTTTAGTTAGGGAAATAATGCCAGTGCTTTTTACATTGGTTCTATGCGGGGGAAGAATGATTTATTTATTTATTTATTTTAAAATAGAGGTCTTGTACGTCGAAAAAGCTTCAGGCGCAGCTTGGCAAAATGTGCTTTATCAGGCAGGTCAGGCTAATGGCGAGCGGCGTTCGCGAGTTACTACAACAGCCACCGATCATCATCGTCTTCTTCATTGCCAGCAGAGCGTCCATTATTTAGATTCGTTAATTCATTACAATTACTCCCCGCGAAATAAGGAGCCATCCTGGCTACCTATGGACAAGTAAACACGGGAGGGTCGTAGCAGGGCTTAAGTCTCGAGACGTGGACAATTTTCTGGCCACGACGACGTTGGTCAGAAGATGGTTCCAGTGGCTCAATGAGGTAATTCACTGGTGACGTTTTTTGTAGCACACGATATGGGCCGTGATACTTGCGGACCAACTTGGTAGAAAGGCCAGGTGTAGCAGAAGGGACATGCAGCCAGACGAATGAACCTGGATCGTAGGAAGTAGTGTTATTTGATGCATCATGGTGGTGCTTTTGGCGTCCTTGATCTTGGGTTGCAAATGATCTTGCCAGTTGGCGGCATTCTTCAGCGTATTTAGCGGCTTGAGACAAAGTCGTGCACTCTGAGGAGTCAGGTTTGTACAAAAGTATGGTGTCCATAGTGCAAGAAGGTTCGCGTCCGTAAAGGAGGAAAAAAGGAGAGAACCCAGTAGTGCTTTGAATGGCGGTATTATAGGCGAACGTGATAAACGGGAGCACTCGGTCCCAATTGGAGTGGTCTGACGAGATATACATAGACAGCATGTCACCAAGGGTGCGGTTGAAGCGCTCTGTCATTCCATTGGTCTGGGGATGATAGGCGCTTGTAGTGCGGTGAACGACGTGGCACTCACGCAGCAATGCTGTGATGACGTCTGACAAGAATACGCGACCACGATCGCTCAGTAACTCCCGAGGTGCTCCATGACGTAATACGATGTTGTGAAGTACGAAAGTCGCAACGTCTTTTGCTGTAGACGAGGGAAGGGATGAAGTTTCGGCATACCGCGTGAGATGGTCGATGGAAACTATGATCCAGTGGTTACCGTCAGCAGTGTTGGGAAGGGGACCATAGATATCGATGCCGACGCGGTCGAATGGTCGGGATGGGCATGGTAAAGGTAACAAGGTACCACTGGCGTTATAAGGGGGAGTTTTTCGTCTCTGGCACGTCGAGCAGGCCCGAACGTATTGTCGTATAAAACGGCACATGCCACGCCAGTAATATCGGAGACGTATGCGAGAATAAGTCTTCAGAAAACCTTCGTGGCCACATTGGGGGTCGTCATGCACGTGGAACAAATTTCGGATCGCAGATGACGTGGAATCACGAGTAGCCACTGGCGTCCACCGGGTGCGTAGTTGCGTCGGTACAGCACGTCGTCGCGAGTGGCGAAGTGCTCAACTTGCCGACGCAATGTGCGAGAAAAGGGGGAAGCCGTCCGCCCAGCCAGGATGTCCAGAATCAAAGCAACCCAAGGGTCCTTGCGTTGCTCAGATGGCATGTCGGCGATGGTGACGGCAGTGGCATCACAGGTTAGACTTTCGCAGCAGTCCGGGTCAGGGGGTAGGGGCGAACGGGATAGGGCGTCCGCGTCCGAATGTTTCTGGCCGGAACGATAGACCACGCGAATATTACATTCTTGGAGGCGTAATGCCCATCGGACGAGGCGACCGCTTGGATCCTTCAGTGACGACAACCAGCAGAGGGCGTGGTGGTCAGTCACGACGTCAAAAGGGCGCCCGTACAAGTAAGGTCGAAATTTCTCTATCGCCCAAATAATAGCTAGGCATTCCTTTTCAGTGACGGAATAGTTGATTTCAGCTTTGCTAAGAGTTCGGCTTGCGTAGGCAACCACGTACTTTTGGAAGCCGTCTTTCTTCTGTGTGTAATAACGTGAGCAGCAGACAGCATACCAAGAAGCAACTGATAAGTTTATTAGAAGACGCACCATATATAGGCGCAGAACCACGTGATCGGTCGCACAGGAATGCGCGCACTGGGTGCGCAGTGATAAGTGACGTCACGCTACAACACTCCTTCCCCTTCAGATTACTTCCGAAAGTCACTGGACTGGTATCTGTTCGGGGCATGTCGTACACGTGCACTACGACGCAGAGTTGGAAGTTCGGCTGCAGGTGGCGCGTCGTCGGCACTGGGCTGGTCCGGCGAGCCGGTGGCAGCTGCTCCGGCCGTGGGCGATGCAGTTGCCGGAAGGAGAGACGTCGCAGAGTCGGTTGCGTGTGGATTTACGAGAGGCGACCCGGCGACTGGCCCACACGCCATCGGAACCGTCGGTGGAGTCGTGTCTACGGATGCCGTTGGAGCAGGTTGCGCCTGCGGATAACTTGAAGAATCCTGGCTTCCGTGGCGGGCTCTGATGTGGTCCGAATGCGTAAATCGCACCGCCTGCGACACTTTCACCAGATAGGTTACGGGACTGATAACCTGTGTCACGATACCATCTTCCCACGACACTGTTTCACCTCGCACAGTCTTCACCCACACAGCGTCCCCCACAGCAAAACATCGCGGAACCCCCCTAGACATGTCCTTTTGCACTTTGGTACGTTGCTGCTGCTCCCGCATGGAGAGCTCGAAATCTGGTTTTAGCAATGACAGCTTTACCCGTGGCTGTCTTTTCAAGAATAATTCTGCCGGGGTCTGGCGAGTGGTACTGTGCGGAGTAGTCCTGTAACTCATTAGATAGCTGTCCAAGCGTTCCCGAAATGAATGTTTGTGGTGGCTAGCTTTGTCCTGCAAGACATGCTTTGACAGTGCTTGTTTGGTAGTCTGCACTAAACGCTCGGCCGCTCCGTTAGAAGCCGCGTGATAAGGAGGTGTCTTGACATGCCTTACACCGTTTACACTCAAGAAGGCCGCGAACTCTTCGGAAATGAACTGCGGTCCATTATCACTCACCAGTACCTCTGGCAGACCATACGCGGCAAACATACTACGTAGCTTCTCAATGGTTTTGTTAGCAGTAGTGGATGACATAGGCGAGACCTCGATCCATTTAGAGAACGCGTCGACGAGAACCAAGAACGCCTGAGAGCCCTTTACCGCATAATCGACGTGCACGCGTTGCCAGGGCCTTGTGGGATAATTCCATGGTTGCAAAGGAACCGGTGAAGCAGCTTTTTGGACGGCCTGACAAACCTGACATTGTCGAACGTAGCTCTCAACCGAAAGGTCGAGGCCAGGCCACCACACAAAGCTTCTTGCTAACGCTTTCATGCGACTAGATCCCGGGTGGTCCTCATGCAATAGCTGCAAGACCTGTAGCTGGAGCTTATCAGGTATGATCACCCTTGATCCCCACGTTATGCATTCTTGCTCTACTGATAGCTCGTCGCGCCGGGAATAAAATGGTCTAAATGCTTCAGAGCACTCTGAAGGCCATCCATTTAAGATGAAGTGCGTCACGCGAGACAAGGTGGGATCACGTCGTGTGGCTCGCGCTACGTCATCCGCTTTGAGGGGCATGCTGTCAAATAGCAAGAGACACTCGGAAGGTTCATCGGCCGCTACAATAGGCCGTGGAAGCCGAGACAGAGCGTCAGCCACTTCAACATTTCTTCCCTTTCGGTATTTTAGTTTATACTGGTACGCTGCCAGGGTAATTGCCCATCTTTGCATTCGAGCTGCAGCAAGCGCAGGCACCGGCTTGTCGTGGCCTAATATTCCGAGCAATGGCTGATGATCTGTATAAAGAGTGAACTCTCGTCCATACAAGTAGCGGTGGAATTTTCTTAACCCAAACATCAGTACTAATGCTTCGCGTTCGCACTGAGCATAGTTTTTCTCTGCGGCTGTAAGTGTTCTAGAAGCAAATGCCACTGGCCTTTCGTGTCCCTCTGCGGTCTCATGAAAAATGACAGCCCCCAATCCATACGACGAAGCGTCACATGTCATAGCCATTGGTTTCGCCACATCGTAAAAAGTGAGCACATTACTCTTGACAAGTAACAGTTTCGTAGAAGCAAATGCTTCGCTACACTCCCGTGTCCACGACCACCTTTCGCCCTTGCGCAACAGACGGTACAATGGCTCTGCCACGCAGGCAAGGTTACTTAAGAACTTTGCATAAAAGGTTAACATGCCGAGATAAGCCTTTAGCTCTGTTTGGCAAGTGGGCTCTGGCGCTTCTGTGATCGCCTTTATCTTTTCTTCTGTAGGATATATACCTTCAGCGCACACAGTGTGACCGAGATAAGTCACAGTGCTCTGAAAAAAACCGACACTTTTCCTCTTTCAGTGTCACATTGTAGTCACTCAGCCGCTGCAGGACTAGTTCCAACGTTTTTTGACAGTCGGCTAAGTCTTTTCCCGACACAATGACGTCGTCTATGTAACATCCCACGTGCGGTATGCCTTTGAGCACCTCATCCATGAAGGACTGAAAATGGCTGGCGCACTGGCTACCCCAAATGGTAAGCGCTGGAACTCGAACAGCCCCCTGTGCGTATTAATAGTTAGCAGTGGTCGGGACTCGGCAGTGAGCGGAATCTGCTGATACGCGGCCGAAAGATCCAACACACAAAACACTCTGCCGCCAGCTATGGCAGAGAACAAATCTTCCGGTCTAGGCAATGGGTAGTGGTCGGTCTTTAAACAGGATTAATGGTGACTTTGTAGTCCCCGCACAGCCTCAGTGAACCATCTTTCTTTTGGATTACGACTACTGGCGTGGCCCAATCGCTCCGATTTACAGGGCGTATAACACCGCTTTTCTCTAGCCTTTCTAGCTCGCCTTCCACTTTATCTCGAAGCGCAAATGGGACGTTTCTGGCCTTGCCAAAAATAGCCGTACAATTCTGGCTTAAAACTATCCTTGCTTGATAGTTTTTTACTTTTCCAGGTTGCTTAGAAAACACCCCTGGGAACTTCTTTTTAACCGCCTCTACCTTGTGAGAGTCGCTTACATTTATAGAAAACACGCTTTTCCAGTCAAGCCCGAGCCTTTCAAGCCAACTTCGCCCCATCAGCAATGGTAGCTGCTTGCCGTTATCCTTGACGATAATAGCGGGTAGCCGCAAAGACTGTTTTCCCACCGTAACGGAAACGTTGCATTGCCCTTTTACTGGAACAGGTTCCCCAGTGTATGTTTTTAGGGCGACTCTAGATGGCTCGCACTTGACATGAGGAAATGCGTTCAGCCTCACACTCTCAGGAATTAGTGTTACAGCTGCTCCCGTATCAATCTGCATGCAGAGGTCTTGCCCTTCTACGTTTAGCTGCACTTCATACCCAGAACGCACGGTATTGATAACATGGTACACATCTAATTCAGAGTCACTATCAGAGCAGTCCACCACGTTTGCAGTCTTGAGTTCTCTGCGATTACTTGGACACATCTTCTGTAGATGACCGATTTGAGAACAGCTGTGACACTGGACGTTCTTATACCAGCAAACACTAGCCGCATGCGCCTTGCCACATCTTTCGCAAACTCGCTTGGCTTCCTTGAGCTTCCGAAGCTTCGATTTCTTTTCGCTTCCTTTTCCTCTTATCGACATTGCATAAAAAGCCGCTTCCTTGCCTTCTGCATGAAGTAACGCTGTCTGTCGCGCAGCCTGCTCTCGGTCCTGGGCTATCTTGCACGCCTTTTCGAAGGTTAAATCTTCTTCAGCAAATAGGGCGAGTTGCGTTTCCTCGCGTCTTATGCCTGCCACTATTCTGTCTCGCAGCGCGTCTTGCAGAAACTGACCGAAATCGCACTTCCTTGCTAACTGTTTTAAGGCCACTATGAAGTCCTCGACGCTTTCCTGCTCTTCTTGTGCTCGCTTGTTAAATTTGCAACGTTCGGCAATGACCGAGCACTGTGGGCTATAGTGTTTCTTCAACAGCACTGTGACCTCTTCAAAGGACTTGTCCCCAGGAACAGCGGGTACTACCAAACTTTTGAGCACCTCGTACGTTCGTGGTCCTATCACACTCAAGAATACTGCCAGCTTCTTTTCCTCTCTGATGTCATTTGCGGTGACGAAGTGCTCAAAACGCTCCAGATAGGATTCAAAATTCTGATCCTTCTCGTCGAACTCGTCTAGCTTGCCTAGTCGCGCCATTGTTCAGTAAAAGTGCAGTATACTTATCGGGTTGCTTTCCCCGACGACTGCGTTGCCTCTTGCCGAAGGTAGTGCCGCCGAGTTCAACCGTCCCAGGCCATGGCTGCCGTTGTTTTCTGGTCCATGGCTGTCGACCGCCGATCGCCCGCAATACTGCTTCGTACTGAGCTAGTACAAGGGGGCGGATCCCATCCTCGTCGCCAGTGTAATAACGTGAGCAGCAGACAGCATACCAAGAAGCAACTGATAAGTTTATTAGAAGACGCACCATATATAGGCGCAGAACCACGTGATCGGTCGCACAGGAATGCGCGCACTGGGTGCGCAGTGATAAGTGACGTCACGCTACAACACTGTGCAAGAATAGCGCCTAGCCCGACACCACTAGCGTCGGTGTGGATCTCTGTGGGTGCCGATGGGTCGTTGTGTCGCAGAATAGGCGGCGACGTGAGGAGGCGGCGCAGTTCATTGAAAGAATCGTCACAGGTGGCAGACCAGGCTGAAAGGTCTCAAGAGCCGGCAAGGAGCTTGGTCAAAGGAGCGATGATCGTCGCGAAATTGCGGACGAAGCGCCGGAAGTAAGAGCACAGGCCTATGAAGCTTCGGAGCTCTTTCATGGTGGTCGGTTTTGGAAACGCTGAAACGGCTGTAAGTTTGGCAGGGTAAGGAAGAATGCCATCTTTTGAAACCACGTGGCCAAGGATGGTAAGCTTTCGAGCGGCGAAATGGCACTTATTCAGATTCAGTTGCAGCCCCGCGGCAGAAATACACGCGAGGACTTTCTCGAAGCGGGTTAAATGGGTTGCGAAATTAATTGAAAAGACGACAATGTCATCTAAATAACAAACGCAAACGCTCCATTTGAGGCCTCGAAGGATAGAGTCTATCATTCGCTCGAAAGTAGCTGGCGCGTTGCAGAGGCCGCAGGGCATGACTGTGAATTCGTAAAGCCCGTCGGGCGTGATGAAAGCAGTTTTTTCACGATCGGCCTCTGCCATCGGTACCTGCCAGTATCCAGAGCGCAGATCTAAAGAAGAGAAAAATTCGGCTCTCTGTAGGCAGTCCAAGGCATCGTCAATGCGTGGCAGCGGATAGACATCCTTGCGCGTGATTCAGTTGAGACGCCGGTGGTCCACGCAAAACCTGGTGGATCCGTGCTTCTTCTTCACCAACACAACTGGAGAGGCCCAGGGACTGCTTGACGGTTCGATTACGCCACGTGTCAGCATGTCGTCAACCTGTTCATCGATGGCATGGCGTTCGATAGTTGACACAGGATATGGACGCTGCCGTATTGGCGTCTCTTGACCGGTATCTATACGGTGAACAACAGATGACGCTCGACCTAAGGTAGGCTGATTGTGGTGAAACGAGGATAGAAAATGCTGTAGGAGCTTGATCAGCTGTTTCTGCTGCCCAGGCGTGAGGTTACAATCAATGGACTTGCGGAATACATCCATAGGTTCATTAGCGTCAGTTGCGGGTGAAATGGCACAAGTCGGTAAAAACGGCTTGTCTGGATAGATCGGGTCTTCGAAAATACAATTTAAGGTCTCGAGGCTTCCCAGACACTCACCGCGTAGCAGGATGTACGGGCAAGCAGAAACGTTGCACGCATAAAGTACCGCCGAACCATTGGAAAAGTTGATGACGGCAAACGGGAGGACGATGGTTCGGTGTTGCACACTAGCTATAGTTGGTTGGAACAGGAGCATCGAGTTAGTGGCAGCAGGGGAAAACACAGGCACTAGGACGGCGGACAACGGCGCGATGCGGACGTCAGCTGCGGCAAACACTTTCGAGGGACTGTGGTGGTCGATATCAAGGCACGGATTCGTCAACGTGAGTTCAGCACGAGCGCAGTCGACGAGAGCCTGATGGGTAGAAAGAAAATCCCATCCTAGTATGACGTTGTAAGATGAACGTGGGAGAACAACAAAGTTGACGGCGTACCAAACATCTTGAATAAGAACGCGTGCTGTGCACTGAGCTGTCGGCGCGATGAAATGAGAGGGGGCTGTACGCAGAGCAAGACTTGTAAGCGGCGTTGTTACTTTTCTCAAATCGCGACATAGTTTTTCACTAATTACAGAAACTATGGCGCCTGTGTCGACAAGTGCACGTACAGCAACACCTTCTACTAGCACATCAATTTCGTTCTTCGGACAAAGAGGAGGTCTTAGAAAGTTCGATGACGACGCAGTTCTTGCCTCCGGAACTGCGGCTGTCAGTTTTCCTCTCCAGCGGGGCTCGTGCGCCGAAGCATCGGGGAGACAGATCGGCGACGGGATGGTAATGACCGGCGAGAATCGACGGGGCGTCGTGGGGACAATGAGTCAGTGATAGGAGAAGATGGTCGCTGGGGATTCTGGGCAGCTTGGTAATTTGCACAATTCCCATGGTCTGGAGGCTGGAAGTTGCGACGGCGACAGTAGCGTGCTATATGTCCCACGAAACCGCATGCGAAACAGATGGGTCGATTATCCAATGTGCGCCATGGGTTAACGACAGAAGGTGCAGGTGGCGAAACGGGATGGGGTGCCGTGTATGTAGGCAGCGTCGTAGGGTAGGAGGACCTGGTGCCCCGGTATGCGCCAGAGACAGGTGGGGCTGGGGGTCTAGCAGCGACGGCAGCGTAGGTCAACGGCGTAGGGACGGGTGGCGATGGAGGCAGTGCCTGCGTGACCTGTGTCTCAATGACCTGGCGTAAACGTGGGTCTAACGAGGTCACTGGCGCGGATGCTTCGGCCACAAGAGAAAGCTGACGCGCAACTTCTTCACGAATGAATTGTTTTATGTGGGGCAGTAAGACGGTGTGATCAGCAGCGACGTCGTGCACGAGGGCGGAAACTTCGGCCGTATCTTCAGCGGCCCTGCGCGTCGAGACACGCTGCTTACGCAACTCGTCGTACTCCTGACAGAGCTGGACAACATCGGTGACGGTCTGTGGGTTCCTAGTGACGAGCATTTGGAAGGTATCGTCGTCAACTCCTTTGATGATGTGCTTGATTTTGTCGCGTTCGATTAGAGATTCATCAACGCGCTTGCAAAGAGACAAGACATCATTAATGTAACTTGTAAACGTCTCATCTCTGCGCTGGACTCGACTACGGAGACGGTGTTCCGCACGAAGCCGGCGCACTGCGGGACGACCGAAGACCGCGGCGATGGTGGTCTTGAAGGCGGACCAGTTGGTGATTTCGCCTTCGTGGTTCTTGAACCAGAGGCTGGCCACATCAGCGAGGTAAAAGCGCACGTTTGTGAGCTGGTCGCAGGCGTTCCACTTGTTGGAAGCGCTTACGATTTCGTACTCTACGAGCCAGTCCTCGTCGTCTTGTTCGTCATTGCCGCGAAAAATTGGTGGGTCACGTTGCCGAGGTACGCCAGTACAGTAGACTGTCGTTGGTAAGGCAGCTTGAGAAGGGCCAGGAAGCAGTCAAGGTGAATGGTGAGGGTAGCGTCCGATTGCGAAGTTCCAGGTTGATGGGAACCCCGGCTCCTCCACCACTTAAAATAGAGGTGTTGTACGTCAAAAAAGGTTCAGACGCAGCTTGGCAAAATGTGCTTTATCAGGCAGGTCAGGCTAATGGCGAACGGCGTGCGCGAGCTACTACAACAGCCACCGATCATAATCGTCTTCTTCATTGCCAGCAGAGCGTCCGTTATTCAGATTCATTAATTCATTACAATTTATTTATTTATTTATTTATTTATTTATTTATTTATTTATTTATTTATTTATTTATTTATATGAACGGCTCTGGTAGTTTCGACCACATGGGGTTCTTTAACGTGCACAATAATCTGAGCACACGGACCTATAGCATTTTCACCACCATTGAAAACGAAGCCGCCGTAGTGGGAGTTCTATCCAACAACCTACGGGTCAGCAGCAGAGTGCTTTAGCCACTAGGCGAACATGAATGAAGAGTGCGTATACCAATTGTTCCACAATGGCTGCTACCAATATTTTCAGAAAAGACCCTGATATTGTGCGTCACTTCCATCCAAGTGCAACTGATGTAGTATGGAAGTAATAAGTTCTTCCATTAGCGCCAAATTAACATGCAGTACGTGGTCACAATTAAATAAAGATATTTCATATTAAACTAGAAACAGCGTGGCTATGGCCCAACATGGTAAGGAGCTCGTGAAATTTCCCAGTCTTAGGGAATGTTATAGGTGATATGCCAGCTGGCTAAAAATCTGAGTACTGTTGCATAATTTTTGCATTGGCTTTTTATGCTGTCTAATGTTAAAACTGCATCACCCATGGGATGTCCACTACTCTACAACAATTACAGCTCAATTGAATAGATGTTTCCGATGGAGTTTCAATCTATCTTTGTTGTGCCAGCTGCAAATTTTGTACTTATTCAAGAGCTTATTAGGTGTCTCCTCACAAGGAACAGCGTGTTACTGAGTGT